ACCAAAATAAAACCCTAACTTTACAATAAATTACACCATGACCACTCCTTTTAAACACGAAAACGCACAAATTACGCAGTTGAGAGAATCTGATGATACAAAGAAAGAAACAGAGATGTGATCGGATACCATAGAAGGCAACTAATTGGAGAAAATTTTAATTAGACGAAAGGAAAAAGATATAACGAACTGTAAACTAACCAGTTGATGGTGTAGCAGCAAGAAAAACAACGAAAGGCAGACAAAGATTAAAGCTTAAGGAGTGAGGAGGTTGCAGGAGAGTTTCATAAACTGTGGAACTTTACTGAGTTTGGTGAAATACCCGATAACTATGCGACTTTATTTCGCTTTTTGTTGCGTTTCAAAAATAACTATACTTTTCTAAATTTGAAAACAATTTAACTTAAACTTACAATTCTACCTTAATAATAAACTTTTCTAATCACACAAATACTTTGTGTCCCTTTTTAATTTATTTATGATCACAAATTCTAAAAGTCTTTCTTTTTTTTTTAAATTCTATGCCAAATCAAACAGTTTCACATAAATTGGAACGGAGGTTGTATTACTTTATTATTTTATCCTTTTAAATGCAACCGTAACAGTTTTGTTGTGGTAAATATTTTGGTAAATATTATCAACTTTAAGATCAATTGTTGACTTTTCCATGAGAATTTGGTGAAATGCCAGGTAAGGAGTTGATGGACAGACAACCACGTTGATGACATAGACACGTGAAGAAGCTCAACTGCGGCTTCTATTATAAGAGAATGCGTTAGTAATACTAGAATTATCCTTTTACCTATAAAATTACAAACCATAACATTGTGAAATGTGCAAGTGTGATCGATATACAAAACGTACGTTTTTAGCAGTACTTGTTGTCATAACATTGAGATTTGTAGCTTGCGGAGAAATTTGCGGCGTTTGATCTATAAGCTTTTTCTTGCTTTTTGTTATGACTTTTCTTGTTATGACTTCTGATGTCTTTTTTGAGTTATGAAAATCCCTATTTATAGTTGTAGAAGAGGAGAGTTGTGATGAAAATAAACTCTTTCGACCAATCAGATTAAAGCGTGACAAGACCGCATTGATTGGCCAGAACATGTCACTTGCACATGTGTCGCAGTTTCATTTACCTTTTAATTTGACTTGACATGCATTGTTATTTTGATATGTGGCATGATCCTATTGGCCTTTCATTTGACTTGTCATGCCATGTCATTTGACACATGCCACCAAATTGGGCCTCTAGAAGGATGACATCTTAGGTTCAATGAAGTGGGATAATCACTTGTAGCCCAATTAAATAGGTTAGCCCAACACATTTAGACCTATTTATTAAATTCATATTTATTGGATTTGAATAATTAATCCAATTACGTTAGTCCATGCATATTATTTGTTTGGACCAAAATATATTTAATTGAGATTAAATTCAAATTTCTTATGAATTTGAATTCAATAAAATTTTAATTGCCAAAATATGCCTCATACTTCAAGACAAGTTTGGGGTAAATATACCAAACTTCGACGGCTAGGCTTGAAGTAATAGTAAAGGCGTTCCTTTTCTTCCCTTTTTACTCCAAAATATCTCACGGAAACATACATGATTCTTCTGTAATTTAGCCCCAAAACAATCTCAATTGAGCCGAATTTTTGTAGTCCAAAAAGAAATAAGCAGCTTCATTTACACACTTCTCATTTATGTAGAATATGTGATGAGAAAATCTCAAACCCAACGCATTACCCAGAATTTTGCATAGAAAGGAATTTCAATGCACAATATTTGAAAGGTGCACGTGAGCTAAGTAGACTTCTAGAGTAAAATCACTAGTTTTGCTACTAAGGGTGTGTTTGGTATGAAGAAATAAAAATATTTTCATGAAAAATGAGTAGTTTTATCAATTAATTTTTCTTGTTTGATTGGTAAGTGAAAATGTTTTTCCGAAAAATATTTTCTATTGTTTGGTTAGAGAGTAGAAAATAATTTTTAGGAAAATAATTTTTTATGCTTCTCTCCTCATTCCT